AACCAGATAATAAAATTAATAATAATTAAAAAAAAAAACCACCAGTAGACAAAAGAGCTGTTGCTTTGTCCTATGGAGGCAGTGAAAATGAAACCATTCTAAAAATAGAAACATTCATATAAAAAGCAGATGTAAGATGAAAGGTGTTTATTAATATACAAGCTGATATTTTGCATTGTACACTGATTTGAGAGATTGTTTGAACTCTTACGTATTTGAAAATTAAGCTGTGATGCCTGCCTTTAAATTGTTCATTGCCAGGGTTTTAAATATTTGTTTTTGAACTGCAGTAGTGTGACATAAATTCAACCTCCTTGAGGATTTCACTATTCCTAGAATGACCTTGCATTTAAGAATACCTATATTTTATGTGTTAATATTAGTCATCTGGATGATGCAGTTTTTATACAGTAGTTCCAGATACAGTAGTTTGTGCGCATAAGCAAATATTGTGTGCCAAATATTGTGTCCCAAAGCAAAAATGTGTGCACCACTTACTGCCTGGGTTAGTTCAAAACTGTTCAAATCAGTGTTAGAGGACTTAGAGCACTACTGCTTAATCGGAGGTGTCTCCTGAAGCAAGGCTTGACTAGAGAGCTGTGCTCTGAGAGAAGCAGGGGTGGTGGTTCATCTCTGCTCTTAATGTCGTATTTTGATGTGGCAGTGATGTGCAGCAAAGCCATGTGCCAGTTCAGGGGTTCATTACCGCATGTCATTCAGTAAATATGTAACCCTCTAAGGGATCATTTCCAGTCCCTGCAAGTTTCTTTTGAATCTGCGTCTAGGACAGGGAGGGTCACTGGGTTATGAGCAGGGAGTATTTGTATAACAGGAGGTGAGATTGGTGGGAGGGTTCTTAGGCTGAACCGATTCTGCTATTTTCTGGGAGTTTAACTCTAAAATGTTCCAATTCAGCCTTATTTTTAGAGTGAGGCATAACTCTTGTGCCCTCAAAAAGACCTATCACATTTCCTTATTCATGTTAGTTCCTCCTTTTAAGTAGAAGCTACAGCAGATCATAAAATACTTTCCTTCATGCAAATAATAGTGCTCCCAAGCTGTATGTTTCAGCTCTGATGCCAGCAGTTCTGTTGGGAGATGAACGGGAGGGACTTTTTAATTGAAACGAGGCTGGGCACAGACACTGCCTCTTTTTCTTCCATTTCCTTTTCTGCAGGTGGAAGACAGTCTCAGAAGCAAACCCTATGGTTTATTCTCAGCTCTGCTGCTAACATTCTCCATGACCTTTGGCAAATCTCTGCTCTTCTTGTCATAGGTCCCAAAAAATAACTCGAGGAAATAAAACTGCACTTCCAGATTGGCCTAGTAGTTAGGAATAATCCCGGGGTTACTACACTGAATGTGTCACCTTTCTTATAGGCCATTCCCCTGGCTTTAGCCTACTGCAAGTCATGTAATGTTATTATAAATAAATGTTATTTCAGCTCTGCCTTGTATCTATGTAAATAGGGGTTAATGAGTTGCTGCAACTTGTGGCTGGCTTGTGATGCGGAGGTCTCCAGAGGGAGGATGAGGAGAGGCTGCTGTGGAAAGTCCCCTTCTGTTGCTAGGCAGCACTGTGTTTTAGCTTCCACATGCAAAAGTCTGCACTCAGGCTTGGCAAGGAAAGGGAAAATCAAGGGATGGAAAACCATACAAAGATGCTTGACTGACTTTTTGTAAGGCATGGCTTTACTGTGCTGGGTGCAGAGAGTGTGTGGCTGCAAGTGGGGTGGAAGCAATTTGATTAAATAGAGTAACATTTGATAACTTGCCTTCTATTTATTCATTCTCAGCTGCAGGATCATGTGGCTGGCTTGCTCTCTCTCTCCCTCTGTTTTGTTTCTTATGATGACCTTGGACCCTTGCAGTAAGCTGGAAGAGTGCAGCACAAGCAGTCTTGCTCCACTTCCAGTCTAAGTGGAAGTAGAAAAACCCAGCAGTTCCAGAGGGCTTCCCCTGGTGAGGTTTATGCTCCAGTTTTACAACCTGTGGATGAGGGGGTGTCATGTTTTCATTTTACTACTAAGTCCATCAAGAGGCACACCAGAGATCACTATTGACTAACAAAGGGCATCCTGCCCTTGCTATACAATGCAACCTCTTTGAACTGTAGCTATAGTGGAAATAGTGGCAAGATCCTTGTATGATTAAAGCTCATCACAACAGCATCGCTAAAAGAGCACCTCTGGTTTTCTGCCAGAAGCATAGGACTTGGGATACAGCTGACCACTTGGATTCCTCTTGGTAGAGTCTGGCTGGTTGTCCATCCGCCCACAGGCTAGTTCAAACTTTTCGGTCAGTCTTGGCTGTCGTCCTGTAATGCTGTTTCTGTTGTTCCTCCCTATGCGTTTTAATAGAAGGCCAGGATGAGTAAATTTAAGGTCTTGCTGCCTCTACTAATTTGTAGTTGGAAAATAATGTCTCTTGTTGCACCTTGATGGGGTCATCAGGGGATATGTGGGTGGGACCTCACTAGGTGTTGGACCCCACTGGACTGTACTGGGAGGTGTTGTACTTGATCCCTGGCTGACAGTTGTGTGTAAAGATACTTTTCCCCTTTCAGCAGAGGATCCTGTGGTGCTACTGAGGCACTGTGGAATTTGGTGTCACAGCCTTACTCCATCCTTGGAGGTTCAGCCAAGTATCACCCTAAAGCTCAGCTTTACGGCAGCCTGGAGAAGCTGAGAGTCTCACCCAGAGTCATGCAGCTCATAGTCAAATGGGATGCAGTGCAGGGTATGTCCCGCTGTAACAGTGCTCTTCCCCTGAAGGATGGGGCTCAAAATCCGGAGTCCTGATTCTCACTTTCACTACTTGACCCTATGTTGTCTTGCACATTTTATCCCACCAGTGGGCTTGTGGCTTGAGCTTACCCTTCCTCATCCCCACCACCCAACATTTCACAGCAGTCTAGAAGAAAAGCTTATGGAGAGACCAAAACTTTGCAAGACTGTACAACTCCTCACTTTGCTCTTCCCTGCACCCCTGGGGTTTGTCAGCCCCACCAAGTTCTCCCTCCTCCTCCTCCTCAGTCTTTTCCACTGTGTGGTTGTGGGGGGTCTTAAGAAAGGCAGTAACCTCACAGTAAATACCAGCCTTACAATAACTGCCTTGCAGCCTCACTGGGATTGGAGCCCTGTGTTGTTTTATAGGAATTCCTGGAGAATTACTTGTTTAGTAGGATGGCGCAGGCTTGGGTTAGTTCAGTTCAGCAGTTCCCTTTGTTTCCTTCTACCTGGTTTGTGCAAAGACCTGTTGGGTCCTTTTAGGTTAGAAACCTTGATGCTGCGCTGACCCAGCAGCCTGTGCTGCTAGGTCAGATGTGGGGACAGAGGCATCAGGCATGGCTACTGTTGAGCCCTTTGATTAATAACAAAGCATTAGGATTCACCTGCTAAAGGATTAAGAGAAAAAGAGAAAAAGCTCAAAATCCTTGCAGCACCTCCCTTCTCCCCCATGCATGCTTGGACAGTGCATTGCAGTTTCCTCAGGCCCCAAACTACCCATGTACAAGTTTCAAGACTTGCTGCAGTGTCTGTCTCTTTTCCAGGTGTGTAAGTGGGCTGTGAGTGTGCTGAGGGCTGGTTTTTAGATCCAAGAGACTGATGAGCACAGAAATGGTGGGTGGGTCTCCAACTCCCTTTCTAAGTTTAGGGCAGCTGTGTGGATTAGGACTACAAAGATGTGCTCATGGGGTGTAGAATGACAAAAGTCGTGGAGGAGTGGGACTTCCCTCCCCACCACCCAGCAGTACTTTCTACTGGAAGAATAATATATACTTTCACCTGAACACTGTCTTCAGTTTGAGGGTTTTTTCTTCTGAGTTTTTGGGGGGTTGTTTGTGTATTTGGGGGGGGGGGGAAGCTTTTTGAGTTTCCAAGGCTCCCTTTACTGTGTTGCTTTTGTGTTCTACTGGAAAAAAGCAGGAAGACTACAAACAAAAGGAGAGAAGAAGTAGAAAGGTCTCACTATTTACCATCCATATTGGTGAAATGCTGGGATGTCTTTCCACAGGTCTTCTGTGTTAAGAGCTTAATCTGAAAAACACCTCAGTTGCTTTGTTAAAGCGTGTGTGTGTGTGAGTGTTACCCCACACTTCACACAGCTTTCCAACTGGAAAGGGGTAGAAAACAGTCAGGAACTAGGAAAATCTATTATTTCTTTCAAAAGCTGATGGAGAATTTTCTTCCTGATATGCCTCCATCACCAAGTTTTTCACTATGAAAAATGTAGTTGAAGTATTTTTTACAGAAAAACTGTTCTCTCTTGAAGCCTTGTTCTTCCACTTTGAGTTGTTTTTTGGGAATTTTTTCAAGGAAAAGAATGATTTTATTCGTTTGCCTACTTTCAAAGCACTGCCTTAAAACTGGAATAGAGCTGCAACTCACCTGTTTATTTCTGTAGTTACACAAAGTAATTGCTGTTTTAAGTACATCCTGTTTGCCAAGTTGTGTGGTTCATATGTTATGACAGCTTTAATGGCTCTTACACTATATGGCAAATGGATTTAGGGCAGTGGGCAGGTGCTTTTTTTTACCTTGTTTTTTGATTCTAAATAAATAAACATAATGAAAATAACTGTTAAATAATGGGAACATCCACATTTACATTAAATAGACTATTTTTTTCTTCATAAAAGGAACATAAATTCACCTGCTTCAGGGCAAAGTCTAACCACTAATTGACAGAAATTTGGAAGATACTTCCTTTTAAGCACTTGTTCCATCTCTTTCTCTGTGGAATTTCTTGTGCATTCTTTTGAAACCCAGTGTATCAGCCACTGCCAAAGGACTCTGTGGGGGTTGGGCGAGACAGTCTCAGATAAAGTTGATTACTTGATGGCCACCTCTGGTAATTCTTAGTCTTTCATATCTCACTTAAGCATCCATCCATCTTGTTTGCTAATTAAATGTTGATTAAAAGAGACTCCCTAAACCCTCCCTCTTTCTGTTCCCTCACGCTACTGCTACTAATCCCTGGATTCTACTCTCTTTCAGAAGATGCTGCTCAAGAAGAATTGTGGAGTGCAGACTAGAGTTATTAAAATTCATGTAAGTTGCCCTTTTCTGGTGCAGTTCCTTCATCTTTCCACATATATCTAAATGTGGTGATTCTCTTTGAATGTCTACACCCAGAACATTATTTCTGGAGGTTTCCTGTGGCTTGATCAGCTGCATAACAAGTTGCTAGTCTGGAGTATAGACTGTAGTTGCAATTTAGGTTAGGTGCTGATGAGGCTAACGATACATTGGCTTTTCCATTTTGGAGGCGATGTGTTCAAAGCTTCCTTAGAGTGGAAGTCTGCATCCTCTGCTGTGAGCTCATACAGTTATGCATAGCTGTCCTGTAGGGTGTCATTTGGATCCTTCTTGACCAAGGGAAGTGCTGATCTGTGGTGTTCAGTAGGGGTGCGAGGTACTGGTACTAGAGCTGCGGAACAGGGATTATATCTGCATGATGCACTGGCGTCTGCAGAACTGTATCGGATGTGGGACTGGATGATGGCAGATGAGAGAGCTAGATTGCTTGGATGGCTTTGTAGCTGGGATGATGCTGCAGTGTTTGAGCATCTCCTGTTCTTGAGCACACACATGCCTAGCAGGGCTAGGTTTGCTGAACTTTCCTGCTTGTAGTTTGTGCTGCCTGCACCTCTGAGTCTTTGTCTCTAGTACCCTATCCCCTGACTCTCCAGCCAACCCCTGTCTCCTTTGTGGATACCTTGGCTTTCTTTTGGTCAGTGCTGCATGGTGCTGTGGGAGATGTGTGTGTGACCTTGCACACTGCAGCCAAAACATGTGCCTTGGTCCACTAAGCCCCATACAATCCTCCACATGTTTGTGATACACAGGCAAAAACAGGTCAGGGTGAAGAAAACAGATAGCCTTTGTGATAAAACTGCTACTTCCACTGCAGTAATTATAGCCTTGCAAGAGGGATGAATAGCAGACCAGGATCCTTCAGGGTTTACACCTTGCCTAGCAGGAAATGGGACTGATGCCTTTGTGTATCCAGAAGTGCTGCTGTTTATGGGCATGCTGTTGGGTGCCCCTGCCCGTCACTGCTTTGTGGGTGAATATGGTATCTGAGAGGAAGAGGAGCAGGTGGGGCTGGCTGGAGTCTTGTGCAGTGCTGGATGGTATTCCTCCAACTCCTTATATGCCTTCTGCCAGGGCACTTCAGTCCTGTCTTCCAGCAGCCCCAAAATGGCCTGATGCTTCTGATCGCACAATTAATCCTGATCTGTTATGTATTCTCTTGTGCTCCGGCCTGGATTGTTTTCAGTAGAGCTGTCATCTTCAGTGCCCTATGAGCTTTCCCCAGACTGTGCTTGTCCTTCAGACCTACCGACAGTCTAATCCTGCTGCAATGTTTTAGCACAACTTGTGTATTACCTTCCTTTATCCCTGCCCCATGTGCTTTTGCTGTTTTTTCTGGGTGTCACTGGACTGCAGCTATTTCCAGTGCTGTGTGGTGGCAGTCCCCCAGTCCCTGGGGTTTCAGCAATGCCTCAGTGGGGTGGTTTCCTCTGACACCTTGAGCTCATTATTGCAGCTTACTCTTGTGCCCCTGGAGAACATGAGAGGCAGAATTATCCCTTCACTCCCTACAAAGTCCATGTCAGCTTGCACTAAAATAAACAGCAGAAACTGAGAGCAAACCCTTCTAACAGATGGCACAGAATCCACGCTTCTTTGGCCAACCTTGCTGAGCTGGGACAGTGCCTCTCTACCTGAGGTGCTCATGTGGTTTCCATGACAATAACATACAATACTTCAGTCTCTTGTTGGTCTGTCGTGGTGGCAGAGCTGTTAGGTAAAGGAGCATTTTTGCTTCCATTTTTCAAATGATTTTAAGTGCCCACTTTTGTGTACCTAGCTTAGAAAGGAGGCAGCAGGTCCCTTGCAGAATACCTTGCTGAGGTGCCTCAGCTCTGGAAGCAGCTGAGAGAGGTCGGTACTTCTGAAAGATGATGCTGTGCTCTCATCATATAAAGGGAAACCTCAATCCAGCCAGTAAGACATGCTTGGCACAGGGTTCCTTCTCATTGTTGCCCAGCAGCAGGACAAGAGGTAACAGGCACAAGGTGAAATGCAGGAAATTGAGGTTGTCCAGAGAAACTGTGGAGTCTCCGTCAATGGAGATATTCAGAGCATGCTCTTGCTGACCCTGCTCTGAGGAGAGGGGTTGAACTAGGCTATCTCTAGAGGTGCATGCCAACCTCAACCATTCTGTGATTTCTGGCTCTTGCCCAGCACTCTGTAATAGAGTCAGAGCACACCAGGGACCTTAGTTCACTTGTGAAGGCTATTCTGAGGCCCTACTGAATATGGCCTTTTGCAAAGGATGATAGCAGGAGGCAAAGTGAGAGGCTTGGTTCTCTGTTGCTGAGGGTCTGGTGACACAGGTTCAGTTTTGGGACTTTGCCATTGTGATGAGGGTGGAAGAAATGAAGACAGATCTCTCAGCAAATGGGTTGATGAGGTGTTAGAGGAGGAACCAGGCAACTGTCTGTGTGTCTGAACAGGAAACATCACCATGTGAACCAGTTTGCTTGTGTCACTGTAGCCCTGAGAAGCCCTGATGCACAAGTGCTCCTGTTTCAGCATAGGTAAAGAGCATGCAGTTTCTTTCTGAACTGAGGTGGGCAGTGACATCCAGACAGCGTACAACTGGGTGGAGATGCAGTGAGTGAACTGATCTGGGGAGCAGTCAGGCTACCTGATGGTTTATGCTGGGGATTTGAAGCAAGGAGCCCTGATTTCTCCCCCCATTTCTCCTGCTGCTGAGTAGCTTCAAGGAGAAAGGATTATGCTTATTCCCTCTTGTGTGAGGCAGATGATGACAGTTACCTGCTAGTAACATCAGTGAAGCTTTTTCATACTGTTCTTGCTGAGGACAAAGTCTCATGTGGTTGTGAGCTAATGCGTGCTTTTAAAAATACCCTTCTGACTGATATTTTAGTTGCCTTGACAACTTGGGGCTTTGCTGGCGTGTCGGGATGTCAAGGTGATTCTCTCATGCGTCATCCCAGCTATGCACTTCCTCCCTCTTCTGCTGGAAGAGCCTCCCATGGGAAGGTGAGGTAGAAGGGCAGTGTCTTTGCCCTCTGGCACTGAAACACAGTTTCACTCCTTGGAAATGTTCATGGTCCTTGGGAGTCTTTCTCAAGCAGGTGACTTAGGCTGGATTTTGCTCCTCTACATGCTGTTTTGACACTAAGGTGCCACCTTGTTGCTGTTCCCTCTACTTCAGCTTTCCATGGGTCAACTCAGGCAGTGTTAGGCTACAACCTTTCCACTTGCTCAGCAGTTCTTCTTAAGCAGGATGATGGGACAGTGATGTGACAAGTCTAAGAACCTAGATAGATTAAGGCAGAGAGATTAATAAACTCAAATGTGCAGCAGTTCAGTCGTGTTTTGAAGTGTTTTCAGGAATAGCAGCTGTGAGAGGTCAGGGCTTACAGTGAAGATAAAATAATATTAAAAAAAACCAACTCCCTTCTGTCCACCCCTCTGGTAAAGGGTAATGGAACAGGAGAATCGGACCCTGCAGGCAGGTGAGCAGAGATAAATTGGAGGTGACAGCCTGTGTATGTCAGTGCAAGATAGGGTGGTAGACATGGGCCTGCATGAGTGTTGCACAGTGAGGTGGGCAATGTGTCTGTGCAGATCTTGTCACTGGTGCCCCAAAGTGTCAGCCAGTGTAATGTCTAACTGGAAGCAAGGTGCGGTGAGAGGGGTTGCACACACGTGCATGGGTATTTTAGCATCCAGAGCATGTTTGTGTGGTGCACTTGGTTGTTGTGTGGAGACACTTCCTTAGCACTAGAAGGAGGATGACTGTATGTGCATATGCTTGCAGGGTGTAACTGCCTCCACCCTGGACCAGGCTTGGTCAGCTGTAGCCAGCTCTGAATGCAGACCCATCTTCCAGAGTCTTTCTATAATACCACAAGTCTTCAGTTCTCCAGGCCCTCCTGGGATGAAGGTTACAGGTCTGTCATTTAGTCCTATTCTTCTTCCTTCACAAACTCCAACATGCAGTATTTGAATGGGATTGGTGGAGGTAGGCTTAACTCAGCAGCAGTAGGTGGGTAGAAGACGCAACTGGCAAGCCCCTGGGTATCTTGAGAGCTCTTGTTGGGGCAGGCAGAGAGGGAATAAGGATTTCAAGGCCAATCTGATGACCTGGCTGATCAGAGAGATGTTTTCTGCTATGTGAAAATAAAATAAGAATTTAAAATCAGAACATAAACCTCTTGTGTTCTTGCCTTGATCTTATCAATGTTGAGAATGTCCTCTGCTTGGTCAGGGGCCAGATCCCTGGAATGACTTCCCTATCTCTTATCTCTTGTGTCTGCATCCTAAAAGGCCACTGCAGAAATATGCTGGGTTTTCTTCTCCTAAAACAAGGGATCTTTTCAGCTTGGAGCTGAGCAGGAGATATGCTGGCCTGAGCCTTCTTGGCAGATGCCTGAGCTATTCACAGATGAAAGGCATACTAGGTGACAAAGTATTGGTGCAAACCTCTGGTTCTGGCTGCACAGCATGAAGTAAAGATTTCTAAAAAAAAAAATAATCAGAAGACTCTTTGTGTGTGTATACATACATATATATACACACAGATATATGTTGCCCCTTACATTGCAGGCTCCCAAGGTCCTTTCGAAACATTGCTAAATGTAGCATCCCAGAGGTAGATGAACGTCATCATTGCAACTTCAGAGTGAGTTAAACTGAGAAACCAGCAAAAAATGTGACTTGCCTGAAAAGAGACAGTGTGAGGAGAACTGAAGTCTGGGCTTTGATCTTCAAACCACATTCCTTGAGTTGTGTCCTTATTCATACCATATCATGAGGTCTAAACAGCTCTGACATCTTAGGCGGCAAAGATCCCAAACTGCAGCTTGCTAACAGTTTGTCAAACCCTCCTGGTTGTCTTTTGTATGTGACTGCCTGAACCTGCCCTTTAGAAGCAACAAGAGAGACTCATCTCCCTGGCTAGTTGCATCCTTGGGTTACTTGCTGGGCAGAGGCCCTTCATGGAGATT